ACCCCCCCCCCCCCCCCCCCCCACATGATTTAACTCATTTATGAACATGTAGTGGTATCGATTATTGAACAAAATGCATGTGCCCGTTTATATAATAAAATATAATGTCAATTACAAAATTATTTTAAAATAAATTAACTATTCCAGTACCTTAATGAGAGGCTTGAAACAACGATCAAGAATTCCAAGAACGTAAAGCAAAAGTGGGTAGAAAGAATTTTTTTTTTTTTGGCGTGTTGAAATGTTCTTTCAATTACAAGGAACAAAGAAATCATTCTTTAGTAAAGGAAGGTGCAAGGTTTCTTTCTGATTTTAGTGCCTTTATCTAAGGGCAAGATTGTGCTAATTAACCAGTTAGCAAATTCATTTAATTCAAAATTGTGCTAATTACCTAATTAGCAAATCATTAAGTTGACTCATTGGTTGGTTCCATTCCTTCTCTACTCTCCAAATATAAATCCAATTAAAATGGATAAAATGTATTTAAATTAAAGAAAAAGATATAAAATTAATTGGCACATTGATCTTGATCTTCGTCTTGAGCGTCCAAAGTATATTCCACTGCAAAACACGGTTAGTCACAACAACGATAAATTAACATTGAATATATCATTACGCAACAACATACATATGAGCAAATTCATGAAAAGAGGAGCGTGGTGTTACAATTATATCGTATAAATAAGACCATTCAAGTCTTTTTAAAGGTGAAATTTAATGGTATGAGAAATTGAGTATTCTTAATCATTTGTCCAAATTCTAGATTCTTTTGAGTTATGAGTTTTTGATGCCTAGATTTATGATGTTCATCGGCGCATCAAGAGAATCAAGAAGGTTGTTTGTGATTTTCATGTTATCATACTTCCATACACGCTACTCCGCGACATTACCACAATAATGTGTGCCATTGCTTCCTTCCCATGGCAAATCGTCCACCATACATTCACACACAACAAAGAGGAGGTCGATTATAGTCAACTCCACATTCCGTGCCCTACCACCTTGCCCCACCAAATTTCAATTCTACTATACGTAGTCACAATAGGCAGTTGATAGAAGCCAATTTCTCTTTCGGGAACTGGTGGAATGTATTAATTGTCCTCCAGACTTTAAAAAAGAACAAAAAAAAAAAAAAAAATCCCCTCCTTTCATGCTTAGCAAAAAAACGATGTATAAAAGGCTATAATAGTGAAAAATTTAGGAAACTTGGTGTATTGAGAAGTCAATAGTAACATATACTGTTATCAAAACCACCCTAAATATCAAATACCCTACATGAGATTGAGTGTATATCTTGTATCATTTCCAATGGAATCATTTATAAGAGTACAATGTTAATCTAGATGCAATCAAATCCTAATCACTCGTCTCTTATGTTCTATCGTACTGCTCTTTTACAAGGAATTTTTTGGTGTTTTGAGATGAATTTCAATCAATTTTCTATATTAGGAAAAATCTCTGAGACGAAAACTGAAGATGAAAAAGGTAAGAACAATCATTGAGACAGTCATTTTTTTTTTTAAACTTAATGCAAAGCAATGTATGTGTGGCTTAAGATAAAGATCTGAAATATACAATGACGCGGTCATTTTACGAAACCTGTCGTGACAAAGCCCTTCGGTTAAGTCCTTCAGCTCATATAAATACGAGGCTCAAACTTAGAGGACTAATGCATCGTCAAATGTGACATGTCGTTGGTCACTTTACTTCAGAGTATAATTTGATGTTAATGCTTTGGAGTGTAGCTGGAGCCTGGAGTTATGTTATATACAACTAACTTTTTTAGCTTCGGACTGCTTTGGCATAATGGCTCGAAATGCGGAAGAAGCTACGCTATACAACTAACTTTTTAAAGCTTCAGATTCTGCTTCGGCAAAATGCCTTGGAATGAATAAGAAGCCAACTTTTTAAGATTCAAATTCAACTTCAGCAAGATGCCAACCTATCATGCTTCAAACTTTGCTCAATATGATACTTCGGAGATAAAAGATAAGTTGTCCAATGGATGACATACAATAGTTTTAAGATTTTAGTATTAGAAGCAAAGAAATCAATTCACATTAACATGAAATTTGGATTTTGGGTACTATTGTTACGTTCATGAATTACTACCGTCCACTTAGATGCCATGTCGCCACAGCAAGGAGACCAATTGGTGCCCAGATATCATGAAATGAGCATTCATGTCTCGATCATCAAGACTTGCATGAACAAAGGAATGGAAAAATGTCGTCGAAACACAAATATCAAGAAACTTTGAAAATGGAAACCTAATTAAAATGATAAGAGAATGTCAAATCACAAAATTGACTAAAAAAATCCTCATCAATCTCCTATAAACAGGCTATTGCATAATCAAGAAACGAAACTCTAAATACAAGAAATTTAAGAGGAAAAACTCTAATGAAATTGAGAGAGAAACTATACATTGACTATAAAAAAAATATCATTTACTATCAGCAATTACTATAGTACATGGTGTATTCATATAACAACAATGCTGAATGTATAGAAAAATTGTGCCAGAGGTTATACAGAATACTCACATGATGTGGATCCCACCTGATTTAAATATTATTTAAAAAAGTGGACCCCACATGTATTGAACATTTGAAGAGAAGAAGCTAAGTGCTATGACATGACATTTGACCATCTAAACTTGATAGTTTGAATCTTCAGGGCTAAAGGAACATTGTGAAAACGCTACCACATATCCATCGCCCAAATCCACTTTTTGAAGGTTGCCTATATGGAAAGAAATCTCGGAAGACTTTGACAAGCGAGGCATGTTTCCAAATAACAAGGCCACTTGATTGGTGCATGCACATATTTGTGGAGCAATTAAACCAACATCACTTGGTAAAAGTAATATATTGATGATTTTTCTTGCAAAACATGGGTATATTTTTCCTAGATTCTAATGCGTTTGAGGCTTTTAAGAATTTCAAGGCGATGGCTGAAAATTGAAGTGACTACAAGATCAAATATTTACGCTCAGATCGTGGTAGTGAACATGTTGGCAACATATTTATGACGTTTAATCATCATTCTTTGACATGTTCCTGTGTAACCTTGAAAAATAGCATAGGGGAGTGGAAAAATAAGACCATCATGTAAATGGTTCGAAAGGTGTTGAAGACGAAGAACGTGCAAAAGGAATTGTAGGTTGAAGTTGCTCATTGTACTGTGTATTTGCTCAATCTCTATCCAACTAAAATTGCACAAAATATGACTCCACAAGAAAATTGGAGTGTATTGCATCTATGGATTTTCGTGAGCATTGCTTATTCTCATGTTCCAAAAGAATGGAGGAGCAAATTGGATAAAAAAAATATCTTCACTGGTTGTGCATCAAGATCGAAAGGCTACAAACTCTACCACCCAATATATGAGAAAGTAATCACTGATTGAGATGTTGAGTTCGACGAAAACAGTATTTGGGAAGTACAAGCTCAACAAGGTCAAAATCCCTTTTGCTGATAATGAGCAAGTTAGAGCCATTCCACCTCAACCAACATTACCATTGACTCCACAAGTTGTCATGCGTTTTTATGAATGATACGACTTTTACATGGTCTTCGATAAAACAACCTATCTTTATGCTTTTAAGTTGTGAAGTAAAGTATGTGGTTGTTGCATCCTGCATTTGACAAGCAATTTGGCTTTAGAAATTTATTAAAGGAAGTTCATTTGCTACAAAATGATCCGACTCATATTTTCGTTGATAACAAGTCACCATTTTCGTTGGCTAAAACTCATGTTTTTCATGATTTAAGCAAACACATCAACATGAAGTATCATTTTGTTCGGAACTATTGTTGACATAAAATATGTGGTGTTTAAGTTTTGAAGTCTCAAGATTAGATTGTAGATTTTTTCAGCAAGCCATTGAAGATTAACACATTTTAAAAGTTTTAAAGTTTACTCGGAGTTATTATAAACCAAATCAAATTTAATGGCGATGTTGGAAAAATAAACTTGATTTGTCGATAAGTTAATTCGTGTGTGTGTGTTTTTTTTTTTTTTTGAACTGTGATCAACATGTATTCTAATTAATGAATACATATACAATGAATTTGTTCACTAGTGGATACATGTTCTTAGAACATACATGAATAGTGATGCGACTTGTTTAGATAAATATTCGTAAAGCCTATAAATGGCTAAGCCCGATGCCTAATTCAAGTGGTAAGAGTGAAAGTCTTGTAAGGAAACTGACCTAAGTTTGAACCTCCTATTGGGGGATGAGTGAAATCCATTGATCCCTGATAAAATAAAGAAAAGAAGCCTATAAATGGCTTATGAATATAGTCATTATGACAAATCAATCCCTGATAACCAAGAACATGCTTCATTTTTTCAGATGACCGATGAATGTTTCGAAATTCTTAAAAGAAGATCCAGACTCACTAACACTCCTTTGAGCCTTTTCTTTTAGTTTCAGAGCATTTGCTTTCACACTGCGATCAGAAAACAACATTTCTATTTTAGTTATAATTTCATGCCTTGATCTGAGGCCATTCTCATCATGATTCAGTCTCAAACCAATCTTCCACATATCACAAATGTAGTTCTCATTATGAAATTGATCTGCAAAGTAAGGCCAACACAAGAAAGGAACACCTAAGCTTAAGCCTTCCATGGTAGAGTTCCATCCACAATGGCTCAAAAAACACCAGACAGAAGAATGAGCCAATACTTCTTCTTGAGGTGCCCATTCTACAATTTTTGCGCGTTCTGCCACTCTTTCCCTGAAGCCGTTTGGGTACTCAGCTTGGGATCCATTCACAAGATTTGATCTAACGACCCACAGAAAGGGCCGACCTGAAAGTTCAAGAGCTAGCGCTAGCTCATTTAGTTGATCTTGAGATAACACTGCAATGCTGCCGAAAGAAACATAAATCACCGAACCATCTGGTTTTTCATCTAACCAGCTTAAACAAGTTGTGTCCTCCACCCAAAAGCTCCCACCGCTGGCACAAGATTTTGAGGTATCACTCCTAAGCAATGGTCCAATCGATAAGAAGTTGGGAATCAAATTACAAGCTGATGATTCAAGTTCATAAAAAGTATTGCAGAGTATCCAAGAAGCATGATGTATTGATTGTCCGGCAGTCAGAATACATTCAAACAATATCTTTTGACCCTTTAGGTCACTCGGGATGCTCCATATCAGTTCATTTCTTCTCCACGGAGGTAAATCATGTGACACCTTGATCAATTCATTTTCCATCATAAATCCTGCAAGGAGAGCAAATTGTTATACGTATCCCAATCTCCCCAAAAGGAAACGAAAACTAAAAGAAGAAGACGAATAGAAGGATCAAAATGAACAAACAAGCAAAACTTGCAATTTAATTTTACCATTTATATCGAGATTTCCTTCTTCAATAAGCTTTGGAATATGAAGTTGGAGGACCATGCCTGCGGCTGCAAAAGGTTGAAAGGCTACTGGTTCAGCTCCCATCTTTTTGGGAATGTCTAGAATCCACCCAATTGTAGTATCAGCTATGACATGGCTAATCTTTTCATCCTTGTCTTGACAATTAATCTTCTCTATTAAATCTGTCAAATTTCTAGACATCGTTCTTCGAAGACTTTCTATTAGCTTAAAACCATCATTTCTATCATCCTCAGGAGTCAGTCCATCTGGAATTGACATTAGTTCTATGTGGCTTTGCCTCTTATCCTCCTCAGACATTGCAGCTAGCACTTTTGCATGTATGTACTCTGTGTTAACGAATGTAATCTTAATCCCACGATTCGCAATTTGGGTCGACAGCTTCATGAGTTGCCGGACATGTCCTTGGGCAGGACATGGCACAGCCAATACATGTGCTCTCTTACCCTTAACTTCCATTTGTGGGTTGTTAACTAATCTCCTTGAGGTATTAATGTCTTTGCATGTATTCGTGAATGAACAGATTCGAGAGATTAATAAAAGAAATGACCATAGATTAGGACTGGTACTATTTTATGTGCTTGGAACTTTTCAATGATCTAATCATCTACGAACTTTGTCTATAAACAAGTAGCAGGGTGTGAAAATTTTCTAGTATGACAGATGAAGCAATTGTTTTGTTCTCTAGGCGTTCTCGTTTGGCATTTAGGTTCGATGAGGCTGATGAATCTAGTTTCTGTCGCCATACAAGCAAAGTATAACAAATGTCGATTCTATTAATTAGCTCATTACCAGGTGTTAAATATGTTGCTATCTATTGAGCCTGTGTCTGTTTGTGTTTGTATATATGTATTATGTATACATTTGCATTATTTGTGTCAATTTCTTTAATTATTTCATTCATTTGGACGATGCAATATTTCCTCTTTCCTTTCCAGCATTTGCAGCAAGTGTATAAATTGCATTCTCTTGTTGCCCGTGTGTTTACGCTTATTTCATTCTCTTGTATTTAGATTCAATGAGGCAAAATCATGCCAGCGCTGAGAATCTAATTTCTGTTTGTCATAGAACCTCTAATCTATCTTATTAGTGTCTCTATGTTTGTGTGTATATATTTGCAATATTTGTGTCATTTTCTTTAGTTATTTTCTTCACTTGGGTGATGCAATCTTTAGGATTTACTTTCTACCATTGCTATGTTCATGCCAAGTCCAATGTTATATTTCTCTAGAAAAAACTGGATTAGTCCGTATTAGAGAAGATAGAACAACGACGGCCTTGTCAGGCAATGGGGAGCTTAGGCCAAGTCTAACACAAGTTCGCTACTGGACGATGTCATGGAGTTGTTTTTATGAATCTCACTAGTAGACTTGGTGGCCGGCTCAACGTGTTTTCTCTTGACTTGGTGGTCAGCTCATAAGTCTAAAAAAGAGGGGTACCAACTACCAATTCCTTAATTTTGGTTAGGTAGGACCATCTTTTGCCATGTGCATGCTTCATAAATAGCTATACCTTCAAGGTTTTTTCCGAGAAGTGAAATAACCAAGTGGAAGGATTTTCATGCTGAAGCGCTTCATTTACATAGGAATCTAGCTGAAAGAGTAGGGTACCATGCTAACCAAGTTAGCATTTAAAGTATAAGATTTACACCATATAAGATCAAGATCAAACTCAAACTCATAGTAATAGTTTCGTAGGAATAAGTTCTTACGTCTTCATATAAAATAAATGGGGATATCTGTCAAAGTAAAATCAAGTGGGGAATGAAAACCACAAATGGTAAGTTGTAAAGCAACAAATGAGAGAAATCCATTCACGAGTCCATCCTCAATAGTATAGATGAATATCCATAAGAAACATCCAACCTGCCTCCGCAATATGACCAATATCTCCAACTACTTCGGAATGGAAATCAAAACTATCATAAAATCTAAAAGGAAAAGACGAACAGATACCGAAATAGTCTAAATGAGTGTTTGCATTCTCGGGGGTACAGAGATGGGTGAAAGCTTATTATGATTAGAGCATAAATCCACCATCCAAGTTACTTTTTTGGGCTTGCCCGAGGTCCTAAGCCCATGTAGTTTGTCACCAATCCCATAATGCCGAACCTGGTTCCAGAAATATAACAATGGCAAGCATTACAAAGCATGCACAAGGAGAACAGATGAAAAAATAAAGCAAGCTTCAATCTTTCCTGCAGGGTCAATAATCAGACATGTATGTCGACTCAAAAAGACACGATCAAATACCTTACTGAACCTACAGTAAGCCTTTGGCTTTAGATTTATTTTTTGGGTAATAGCTAAAACACTCACCGATTAAAATAAGATGATGTCAAAATAAAAAGTTATGTCACCTTGCACAAGCATCCAATGTACAACTAACATAGGTACAGGTAATGAGATGGTAAGTGCTTTGCCGAGTGTATCATCTAAACACAGAATACAGTCATGAACTAGCATAAACAGGTATATTCATCTCTTTCCGTTTACGAAAAGTATCAAACTTCAATTTTCCAAAGGCAACAACAGATTCTCTAGTTTCAGCCAACAAATCAAGCCCAAGGAAAAATAAAAAATACAGGGACACAACAATAACAAAAATATATAGAAAAAAGGAAAGTAAAGTAAAAGTTACACATCGACAGTCTCTGGCCATTGGTCTCCTGCTACCAAACATTTGCTACTTCTCATTGGGGGATGGCAATGGGTAAGGGGCTAGGCATTGCACAAGCTATACACTCGTTCGTTCTCTAATATTTGTTGGTTGTGTTTAACCAAAAAATACTCTTCATATGTTTTGAGATAAGGAAAAACAAGCCAAAAGGCTGAGGTTGGCAAAAGATTAGTTCAAAGAGCATAGAGTAAGGAGCTGACTCCTCATGAACCCTGATGTTTATGTTGTGAGGCAGACTAAGTCAATGCACAAGCCTTAACAAAGGGCACTTAAAGCATAAGCTTTGAGGGTTCTTAATGAATGCCTTGCAATAGGCATTCTATAATTCATGACCCAGGACCATTTTTGAAAACACAAGGTAAAATTTTATGCATTTCTTGCTGGGAAATTGCATGTTAACTATTGCCTATAACCTAATCTTGGTAGTTTGCAGCCATTGGGTCCAGCACCATATGTTCACAGGACTTCTCACAAGCACAGAAAGATAGGCATTACAGAGAACAAAAAACAACACATAAATTTATCAGATTCTCCTACCTCTGTAAGAGGCAAAGAGTTACATGTTTACTGGTGGTGGAGAGGATAAAACGTTACAATGAAAATTAGTTAGGTGACAATATTAAGGTATCAAACTTCCTGGTCTTACATTATTAAGGTATCAAACTTAATAAAATTCCAAATCTTGTTGCACTTACTCAGCTAGTTGAGGAACAAATATTATTTCTTAGAATGTATAGTTGAAAATGAAGTTTGACCAATTTATAAATGGTAAATAAATTTTCCAAATGGTGGCTTAGCCTCTGTGAATTAATGAGCTATGAATACAATAGATTAGCTATGTAGAACAATGCTAGAAGAATTTACATAAATTAACAATATTGGGATCTCATGTATATTTGAGATAGAGAGGATGCATTCATGGAAAGACGATCAGGAAAATGTACATAAGATCTAACTCAAGGCTGATAGATGTAGTAATAGGTATAAAGCTCATCTTATTGCCACGGGTTCTCTCAAAATGAGGGAATGATTATGGGGCAGCCTCAGTGCCAGTAGTTAGGTCTGCCTTGATTCTCCACATTCTAACAATTGTTTAAGATATTGGAGGTTAACATTTCATTTCCTAAAGAGGATTTGGAAGAAGAGATATATACATGTGTGAGTGGGTGGTGTGAGTGTGAGTGGAGTGTGGACTAAACACAAGTTTTTTGTTGACAGACAGGTGTAGAGTATGCAAGCACAAACAGACAATATATGTTCATAAACAGGAATACTTATAATGGTATCTCAGATTTCCTTGGATCTTTGATCCATCATTTTGTGAGTCTAGTACTTTACATTGATGACATATTTGCTAAAAACAATAGGAAGTTTATTGCCAGTAACAAGCAGTTAGTTTTAAGCAAAATCATTTCCTGGTTTGCGTCAAGAAACTTATAGTAGTAATAAAACTGCCTGAAAGATACTACACACAAGAATAAGCCCATGTAGTCCTGTTGAAAAGACACTTATCTGGAGGCTCAATATGGGACATCAGCAAGTCCTAGAGACAGAAAATCGAGGGTTCGAATCCCACTCTCTCCTTTTTTTTTGCTTATTGGATAGATTTGTTTATATTGGTTTAGCTCCGATTGGTATCATAATAAAGGGGAATGGCTCCGCTATCCCACTTGGAAGGCATATAACTTAGCGGTAGAGTTCACCCTGAAGTGGTAGAAGTCATGAGTCCAATCCTGATTATCCCTAAACTCAGTGTGAGTTCTTCTATTTAGATTTGCTCCACTTACAAGATCCTAATTTCAGCTTTGTCAAGCCTGATGCACGCATGATGCAGTATAAGCGTTTATTTGTGTAGTATTCCCAAAAATATAGAAGAAAAATCCACTTTTCCAAATGGAAAAAGGCTCAAAAATTCTCAACTGTTGAAGCTACAAATCATATAATTGGATCATACGTGTTAAAGTGCAAACCAAAGAAGAAAAAAAAAGACAGAAGGTTTCTGAACTATCTATGGGTCATAAAATTGTTTATCTGCATGTTTTTACATGAGTAAAAGTTTAAACAATTTCTTGAAAAGTTGGAACTTACATCATGGCCATAGAGATTTGCTTGAGGTCATTCTCAACATTCCTCATGTTAGCAAGCGATTGTGCACAGAATATAATAGCGAGCCACGAGCACAGCTTGTACTGAATAAATCAACAATCAACCAATTAATTATACTTCAAAAACTAGATCTATCATCATAACGCATTTACTAGCTCGTGAAATTCATGCTTTTGAGAACAATTTAAACCTAAACAATCATTACTAACATCTGCGCAGGTTTCCGGAGTATGACTGTATGAATATCCACTTTTATATAAGCTAATCAACCGATTAAAAGTTTAGAAAAGATCGGAAATTAAGAGCAAGCGAACCCGGAACATGGCACCAAAAACACCGAATACGACAGCGATGAATCCGGAGTAATCTACGGGGAGGTCTTGCGGGGCTACGACCGGCGGCTTGTACGGACGCGCCGCCGATGGTTGCCTTGGATCGTTCGACTGCGACGCCATCGCTCTCTCTCTCTCTCTCTCTCTCTCTCTCTCCCAACTTCCCAGAGCTAACTGTAAGTTAGCCCCAAAATATGATTAAAGTTGAGGAAAATGGTAGACGAGGTCTCAATCCTTTGGTCTGCATTGCAATTTGATCCTCAACATTTGAAAAAGAGCATTAATGTCCTTATCTTTTCATAACAAACCAAATTTTGTTTTGACAGTTTTTAGCCTTATGTTTAAATAAATAAATAAAAATTAAATATGAAAAAAGCAAGAAAATGAAGCGTAAAAAGTGCAATTATTTTCCTTTATTAACCCCCCGTTTGATTTAACGAAAAAAGTTAAGAATCCACTTCACTTAAAATAGACAATATCTACAAAAGTTCCTCTCAATACAATATGTCTAGATTTATGTTTAGTTGACGTGGCAAGAATAAAATTGGACATCATGAAGAGATTTAAGTCTAGGAACATGTCTGGTAAGGATTATTTTCAGATTTTAAGTATTAATGTTACCGTTAAAGTCCACTGGTGGGCCCCCTTTCTCTCACAAGCAGTCAAAAAAGGCTGCTAAAATGATATGTAACGGCCACAAAAAAGATTTTAATTGGGTGAAAAAGTTTCACCAGACATGCTCTAGATATAGAAGCTCTTTTTAGACGGAGTTAGTCGATGAAATTTAACGTTAATCTCGTTCTCTATTTTGTAGAATCAAGTTTGTAATAGAACACATATAAATTCATTCCATATTTCCCCTTTCAGAAGTAGTGGACAAAATCGTCAAATCACTTAACATTCATTTTCGTTTCAAATGAAAGTCGCGTGTAGTTTTAAGTTCCAATTTGACAATTTTAATCATCTAGAATAGAAATTCAAATCCAAGATTCGAGACTTAAAACTTCACTTTCAAAGATTGATGATCCAAAATCATATAAAGTGAAAGTTTAGAGAGCCCAACCTTAATTTAGCTTCCACAAAATAGATAAACTATACCTGAAAGAAAACAATATAATGCAGAAGATTTCAGTCAAAACTATTTCATACTCGTGCAATGAGCAAAAATAGTAAAATACCAGATACATTTTCGAGAACCTCGTAAAGGGGGTAATCGCTACTAGGGTTTTAAGGAAAAACAAAAAATGTTTCTCGACGTTTTCCAAGAACTTCCTCATAAATGCAATTATAGAAGTGAAGGAAATGGAAGGTTTTGTCTGGCTTTTAAGAATTTGTTGTAACGTAATGGGGTTGCATGCATTGTGTGCAGATAATATTTGCTCAATTTGGGAGAGCTAGAAATTTTAGCCCATTTGATGGAATTTTTTGAAGAACTCTTTTTCCCGCGTACTCATTTTCAATCACATATTTACAAAATAAAATATTCTGCAAATAATCTCAAAACTTTTCCTACTTTTTAACCACACATTTCAAAACATTTATTTTGCCAAATAATAACCATTAAACAGGAGCTTAAGTTATGCAGAACGCACATATGTCAAAATGTCCAATAATTTAAAAGGGCACCATTGAATTTAAGTGTAGGATCTTGTTACACGTAAATCAAAGTTGACATAAAAGTTTACATAATGTCGCATACAGTCAACTTTTTTATCCAATCATTTCCCCTCAAATCATCTTCGACCCTGCTTTTGGACGCTGCCATCTGTACGACCAGCATAATTCTTCTAGTGTAGCTGCCTCTTTGCACCCTAATTTGCTGAGACTATCACCAACTGACTGGGTTAGGTGATAATACTGTACTGGAATACTCCTTGGCGTCCAGAGGTGAGATTTTGCATTCGCTGCCGCGACTCAACCCAAGTGGCTCCAAACAATCCTCAAAAAGGGTTGCTCTTGAACTACTCTAAATACACCAAATCCTTAGCCAAATTTTTATGAACTCCTATCTGAAATTCTTTTCACAATTTTTTATCAAAGATTTAAAAAAAAACTCTGCTCTCGTGGGTTTAAAATTTTACGAGAAAAATTTGTTCTTGACAAATACTTTAGATCCTGGTTTTCAAAAGAGCTGTAGAAAACAATGTTTCTTCATTTTTGCAATACAATTATCAAACTTTGTCTCAAAAAGATTCATATTACTATTGGAGGAGGTGTTTCCATATATCGCGCTGGCTTTTTGCACGATGTGTTTATTTACTAGAGTTCTTAATGGTGATTGCATGTTTACGGATGATGCAGGAATTTCGGTTTTTGTTATATTTTTTAAATCAAAGTGTATTTTAATCAGAAGAGTTTACTAAAGAATGGTAAACAATATGTTTGTACAACTTTCCAAGTGAAATGCCTATGGTAATGTATGTAAAAAGACGATGAAAAGAGAAGCCTTGATAACTATGGCTGCTTGGCATGGCTTGTGAAAAGTTAAAAGTCTCTTTCGTGATTAGAAGCTGCTTTTCACTTCACTTGTGTGAATGCTTTTTTTGAAAGTGAAACTTCTTATTTGGAAGAGGGCTTAAAGGACTTCCACATGAAGCTCTTCTAAGAGAAAGAGGCTGAAATTATGCCAAACAGGTCTTTAATGAGTTAGAACTGCTTCGTCACAATTTCACTTCACAATGCTTGAAATTTTTCATCCTTGTATTTAAAAATGAAAGCATACATGTTTATATATGTTGATAAAATGGTGTTTGATGGAGATTAAATTTAGATTTTTAGTAGATTGTGATAAAAGTTTTTGAAATGTGTGGTTGAAAACTTGTGGGACCATGAAAGATGTGGTCAATATTGATTGTTTGACTTTGAGTTGGATTAAAATCAGATTTTAATCCGAACCAGTATTTTTATTTTTGTTTTGAACTTCCTCTTTTCTTTTTCAAGGCGTTTCTTGAATAATATCCATTGCATTGCTAAAACCTTTTTCCCATTTCGATTTGTATTTACTTGTTTGAGATTCTTCATTTACTCCATTAACAACCCCGGGGGAAGAAAAGAAAATTGAAAATTTTAATGTTGAATGCAAAGTTTTCTTGCTGAATGGCAATCTTTTTATGAAAAACTTCCAACAAAATTATGCCAAACAGGTCTTTAATTGAGATTTTTGAACACTGGATTCAGAGGTTTACTGCATCTATCCTGTGTGTTTGTTACAACATCTACTTATTTTCTCCTATCTAAATTGCATTAGCTAATGAAGGATGAAAATAATGCAAATTATTCGGACGAACAGCTCCAAACTCCATGTGTACTAGCCCGTAAGGCAGTATGGTGAAGCACCTAGGCCTCTCAGGCCTTATACACTAGGTAGAATGGTTTTGAACTCATCCGAAGATCTCCCAAGCACAGAAGAAATTAAATGATTCATGGTGCTAAGTTTCACGGTCAATGATTAATAGGTTTATTACGTTTCATTTTTATTTATTTTTTTCAAATATTTTCTATCTTTAACAAGTTATTGTCATTAAATTTTAATTCCACGTTGCATAGAATTGCATGAAAGCATATGCCTTGCTGAACGATCTTCCCATTCGGGATACCTTGTGTGCACATGATACAATTTAGGTAAACTATAATTACTACCCAAATTACAATATATGTATATAATTATGATAATAAACCATAATCTTTGTGAATATGGAAATCTCCGCAATCTCAATCTCAATCTTATTGATAATTCTTACCATGTTCATTCTAAAATTAAAAGTAGCTATGCTCAAAGTAGCTAATGAAGTATGTTATACATTTGCTCAGGGCAAGACGATGTAAAGTCACCTTAAAACCCTTTTTCACTTGACTTTGAAAGGATACCTGAAAAATTATAACTCCTATAAATGAAATTAAACTAGCTGAATTTAAACTTCTAGACATTTCACTATAATTTAAAAGAGGCTAAAACAAATCTTACACGTGTCGCGATTTCCCGTTGTCGTAAAAAATCCCCCTTTTTAAAAAAAAAAAATCCTTGAAATTCGTCAAAAATTTCCCCAAGGTCATTCCTCCTTCTCCATTATCTCACGTAACCACCCACTCCTCCTCTATTTTCTCATGCAACCGCCCACTGCTTCTCCTTCCTTTCCATTTACTCGAAAAATAGATTTTTTGCTCCAACCTCGTTCATTTCCTTAAGTTTGTGTTATATTTTTCGCCTATCTTTGTGTAATTATATAGCCATTCATTTATATTAATTTTCAGTGTCCAACTCGGAATCCACAGTTTGCTTCAACGCCAATTGCTCTTTCTTTCAACAGTAAGCTCATTCATACAATTAGTTCAATTTTTTATTATGATTTTCATGTATACATGTATTTGATTTTTATGTATTTTGAATGTGAGGTTATAGGACATAGGCATATAGTCAAAGCTACAGAGAATGATAACGTTGTTTTTCCCTATTGCCTTTTTAGACTTTTGTTTAATAAATTTGTATTTTCTTGTTTTTTTTTTTT